GTGCCTGTATTTTTTTTTTTTAAATAAACTACTTAAAAAGCTATAGTTTCAATTCTTACCACAGCCATGATTAAATTCCGTAAGTTTTTATAGATTCAATTCTCATCTCCATTGTTGGTTTTATAAACTATTTATGAATATTTTAAAATTGTCTGTTTAGAATTCTAGAAATATCTAGAATTGGGTAGCTTTCTTCCCTTGACGTCTGGTTACTGGTAATTATTTTCTTCATCTCTTTTGTCTCACTCCTTTTCTTCCTTGTTGTCATCAGCAAATGGGGTATAGCACAGGCAGTTTCAGGAAATAGTTTTGCTAGGTGGTGGTGGTGATGTGTGCTAGGGTCATGGTTGGATAATTAGGCCTGTGATGCCCCTGACTGAGCTAATGGGAAATGGTGAGGATGAGTCAGACTTTTTCTCTTCTTCAGAGCTAGCATGCTCTTCCAGCTTAGCAGATGCAGTGAGCTGTGGCTGCATTTTGCACCAGCCCACTACTGCTTCATTTAATGGAAATATCTCTATATTATAGTACATAATATTTTAAGCTAGAGCAGTGTGTGTGTGTGTGTGTGTGTGTGTGTGTGTGTGTAGGGGCAAGTTTGTTGGTGGGGAGTGGATCTGTTTCTGCAGATACTTGAAAGAAGAGATTCCAGACATTGTAGGTGCTATGGTTTGAATGTGTGCCCTCAAACTCAAGTGTTGCCAATGTGATAGGATTAGAAAGCAGAGCCTCTAAGAGGTTATTAGGTCATAAGGACTCCTCCCTCATGATTAGGACAAAAGCCACTTTAAAAGAGGCTCGTGCAGCATTCAGCTCCCTTGATCTTTCATTCTTCTGCCACATGAGGACTCAGTGTTCCTTCCCTCTAGAGGATGCAGCAATCAGGTGCTGTCTTGGAAGCAGACAGCCATCCTCACCAGACAACCACATATGCCAGTGCCTTGATCTTGGACTTCTGGCCTCTTGAACTGTGAGAAATAACTTCCTGTTCTTTATAAATTGCCCAGGCAGTGGTATCTGTTATGGCAGCACAAATGTACTAAGACAGATAATAGCTTTTCATTCTTAGCCTGCTTTTAAAAGTCAGCTGGACTCAGAAAGTGTTACTTTGGTAGTGGTGAAATAGGCAAAAATCCCTAAGAACCAGTCCTTTATCACAGCCCAGATCACCTACATGCAGATGACATTAGAGTCAGTATCTCCTACTTCGATTCCATTGCTAAGCTCTAGAGGCCTCCCCTTGAATTTTCTACCTGTCCTTCAGACTCAACATAGTAAACCCAGAACCCATCATCTTTCTTCCTGAGCTCCCCACTTTATCTCTAGTTTTTATTTTGGTGACTTGCACCACCATTTAACCAGTTCCCAATCCTGAATGGTCTCATATCGTTCACTTCTAGGTTATGCAGAGTCTTAATATATTTGGACATTATCCCCCTTGTCTCCATCCTCATAGCCATTGCCTTGGTGAGGCTTTCACTTGTCTGAATTATTACTATTATTATTAGAGTTATAGCCCAATATTTATTTAAAAATCTCACCTGCCAGCTTAATGTTTTCCACCAACTTGGGGAGCTGAAACGTTAACAGGCTTCACAGTCTTTTGTTCAGGTGATGCCTTTGTAGGTGCCTGATCAGCAGCCATTGCAGTCTTTTTAGATACTTGCTTAGCCTTTTTTGCTTCCTTAGCAGCCCTGATAGCTTGTTCTTGTTGAGACATTCTAAAACCAGGTTTCTGATTCCTCTTGGCCATGATGTTAGCAAGAGATGCATCAGTAATGGCCATCTGGAATTTGACTACTTAGTGGGTTTTTTTTTTTTTTTTTTTTTTTTTGCATTTCTTCCAGCTGTCCCTTTTTGTGCTTCCTTCTGTAGAGGACAATCAGTTTATTTGCTGAGGATTCCTCTTGGAAATAAATGTATTAAGAAACTGGAAAACCTTGTCTGTCCTGGTGTTGTGCCTTCCATGTCCCGGGTAGATCTTATACCCGCTGAAACTGCACGGCCTGATCTTGATGGCGGCGGGTCCACGGGAGGAGAAAAGATGATGAAGAGAAGCTCTTACCTGAATTACGATGTCAACCTCCTACCCGGCTTTTTGCCTCTCATTTGGTCCCACCAAGCTACTAAATCGGTCTTTCTAGAAATGCTAATTGGATTTCATTTCACCCCACTTGGCTTTCAGGATGAAGTCCACATTTCTCAAGTTAGAACAAGGCCCTTCAGGAATTTGTCTTTGCTTGCCTCTCTGTCCACAGAGCTCACCACTTTCCATTTTACATGATTCACTCTAGTCAGATAGAACCACCTAAGGTCACTGAAGGCATTATTGTATTTCGAGTATTAATACAAAAAAACCTTTATTTTGAAAGAATTTTAAACTTATAGAAAAATTGCAAGATTACTATAAAAAACCCTCATATATCTTTCACCTAGATTTACCAATTGCTAACATTTTACCACATTTGTTTTATCTATCTATCTAATCAATCATCATCTATCTAGTATTTGTTTTCTAAACCATTTGAGAGTAAGTTGTAGACATTATGTCCCCGTATTTCTAAATTCTTCAGTGTGTATTTCCAAAGAACAAAAGCATTCAGTTATATTATACAATCACAGGGAGGTTATCAAAATCAAGTAATGTAACATTGGTTAAACAGTATTACCTACTTTATAGACCTTATTCAAGCTTCAATAATTTTCATAGCGATTTGTGTGCATGTGCACACATACATGCACTCATGGATCTTCCCTTCTAGGTAATTGTCATGTCTCCATGGTCTCCTGTAATCTGGACATTGGGAATTTTTAATCCCTTGATGGCTTCTCCCAGTCTCTTGTCTGCTTAGGATACGTTTATCTTCTTTGTTCATCCAGTTCTCTTTCTTTTTCAACAGTAGCACTTGTAGCCACTTGCCCAGACATACTTTGCCAGACCTCACAATATGATTTTCTCAAGTCTCCTTTCCTGTTGCATCACATAAAAACCTTCATCCTTGCTAATCATACCGCTTTTCTTATCTGATTTGTAAGCCACTTGAGGATGAGAATCAGTCCTTATTTAACTTTTTATCACCATTGCCCAGCAAAGTACTCCACATAAAGTTTGAGCTCAATACATGTATTTGAAATATTTTAATAGGCAACTGTTCCCATGAATGAGTGTTTAACATTTAAGAGTTAATACCCCTGATACCCAAAGAGTTTCTTCACATTGATTAAAGTGTGGGGAAATGGTTTGGTGGGAGTATGAATCGTCATTGAATGAGAAAGTAACTGGCAGCATCTAAAAAATTAAAAATTTTAAAAACTAAAAAATGCTGTTTAAGGGGCTACATCCTGTGGTGAAACAAGTGCTGGTACCTAAGGGCATCAGTGCAAGGAAGTTTCTTATAACATTTTTTATTGTAATAAAACATACCAGAAACAATTTGAATGTTCATCACTAGAAGTATAGTTGAATGTATTGTGGAATATTCATACAGTTAAAAAGAAATGAATATTGTGATATATCTGTGTGATACAATGGATAAATTACCACTATTATACTGAACAAAATAAGTCAAACCCAAAAGGATGCAAACTTGGTAATTTGTCGGAAATCATAATGCAGGAAAAATTAGATTTATGGCTGATCTATAGCTTGGGGACTTGTTTGACTAGAAATAGGCAGGAGAGGACTTTATGGATGGTGGAAATGTTCCATTATCTTGTCATGGGTATCAGTTGTGTGGGCATATAAATTTGTTAAAACTGATTAAATTGCACACTTAAGGTCTGTGTCTCAATAATATTGTTAAGCCTGGGCAACATGGCGAGACCCTGTCTGTATTAAAAAGAAAAAATATTAGCTGGGTTTGTTAGCTGGTGAACATCTATAGTCCTAGCTACTTAGGAGGCTGAGGTGCAAGGATCACTTGAGCCCAGGAGTTCAGGGCTATAGTGAGCTATGATCACAGCACTGTACTCTAGCCTGGGAGATCAGGTGAGACAATTTCTAAATAACAACAACAACAACAGCAACAATATTGTTAATAAGAAATGTGTATAGCCCCTGAGTTAATTGCTCTGTTTTGAGGGCTAGATCACAGTAAGGTATAGCTCCCAACTACCTCTACATAAGAATATGTGTACAAGGAAGTTTGTTGTAATAGTATATATTAAACCATTCACCAAAAACTTGAAAATGTCCAAAATGTTCATCTCTAGAGAAATAAACATTTTAATGTAATTATAATGATACAACTACTTAGAAGATAAGTCAACCTAAATGTACTGATCTGGAGGGGTATGCAGGATATGTTTTAAGTGAAAAAAATATAAATTATTGATTAGCGTGTAGTGTTTTTTATAAAAAGGAGGAAAACCTTTATAATTATCAATGTTTGTGTAGCATATGGAAAAAAGGTGTGAAAAATCCACACCAAACATGATACAGAGAATCTAGTGAGTTTATATTTCTGTAGTATGTGCTATTTTTATAATTAAAAAACTCTCTAAAGTTCATTCACAAAGAATTCATGCTAGATGAGTAAAAAAATAACTTTTTTTTTCTGTACTCTTACAACACAGAACACTTCTGTGACCAAGTGTGTGGGGCTTTTCCACATATACCACCAAGCAGGCAATCAGTTCTGCAGCAGACATCAGCTGGGTGTCTTCTAATTCAATTAGATTCTGGCAGTATCAACTTGGAGGTAGCATCAGATCTCACAGGTTGAGGACCTAGTCCCACAAGACGGCCCCCCACTTTAGGAGCCAGTCACAAGTCTGGGCTTTAGGAACTTCTGGCCAACTGGCTATAAAGTGGGGTTTTTATGGCCCCTCCTCCGGTTTCATTAATTTGCTAAAGCAGCTCCCAGAACTCAGGAAAACTTATGTTTGCCTATTTATTACAAAGGATATTTACTTATGTTTGCCTATTTATTACAAAGGATAATTTAAAGGATACAAACAAATAGCCAGATAAAGAGAGAGAGAGGTGCAAGGTCTAGAAGGTTCCTGAGTACAGAAACTTCTGTCCTTATGGAGTTGGGGTGCACCTCCCTCCTCACTTGTGGATGAGTTCTTGCTTGCCAAAGTGGAAGCAAGAGTGAAAGTTCCAATCCTCTAAAGTCATAGTTGTTACCTTGGTAACCAGCCCCCATCCTGAGGTAATCTAGGCGCTCCCAGCTACCAGTCATCTCATTAGGACACAAAAAATACTTTTTTTTTTCTGACATAGGATACTGTGTCACCCAAGCTGGAGCACAATGGCATGATCATGGCTCACTGCAGCCTCTACCTCCTACACTCAAGTGATCCTCCTGCCTCAGCCTCCTGAGTAGCTGGGACTTCAAGCAAGCAGCCACCACATCTGGCTAACAAAAGATACTCTTATCTCTTGGGAATTCTAAGGATTTTGGATGCTTAAGTGAGGAAATGGGGAATAAGACCAAATATGCGTTTCGTTATAAAACACAAGGAAACATGGGGAAGTGATAGAAGTCTGAAATCAAACTAGCTGGGAAACTACATTTATCGTTGGACTGAGTATATGGTTGGTTTGACTTGATTCCAATTGTTTTTCCATTCCAACCTTCCTTCGCCTTTTTGTCCTTGATCTAATTGTCCTTTGTTGAATAAATGAATAATATGGATGAGTGATATAAGTGCCCTTGAAAAAAAAAATCACCTGAAGAACATTACACTGTGGTTCCATTGAAATTAAGCCTGTGAGTAAATTAGTAGTTTAAGACTGGTAAGCCACCAATTTATCAAATGTAACATTTGGCAAATATGATTTATGTTGTGGGGATGAGGCAGAAATGTTTTTATGTGTCCTGTGTTTATTTAACCTAACTTTTTTTGAGGGATGCACAATTATGATGTACACAGAAGGGACAAAGTGAAAACAAATGTTTGTGTGGTTGGACTTGTCCTTCTGGCTAAACCAGTCCACAGACCAACACACACCCAAGCCTCCTCCTGTTTCTATGGAGGCAGGGTGCTATAGGAGAAAGAGATGAAAACAAACAATGAAAATGAAAGAAAAAGCCTCGGCTTCAGGGTGGGAGAAGCAGGGGTTTGAATCACAGTTCACTTAAGAGTATACCATGTGTAACTTCTCTGAGCCTCTTTTTCCTCATGCTGAGGGGATTATGAGGTTTGCTGTATTTTAAAAAGAATTAAAAAAAAAAAAAAAGCACCGTTCTGACACGTATTAGGTCATTGAGCATATTAACATATTTTCCTTCCTAGTTGCAATGTCATTTTTACCTGCCCAACAGTATCCTTGCATTTTTGTTTTGGAAATACCCAATATGAGGAGTGAAATTGGCTCAGAAACAAAGGGATTTATCAGCCACATTAGGTGACTTTCCATATTTCAGCTATGTTTGACATCTCTGCTCTTCTGGATAGACTGCAACTTCCCATCATGAAGTTGGCTTCCCTCTGCCCCCACTTCCGCCTTTTTTCATTGTGCCGTACAGTTTTACCAGGATAAGATCCTTAAGTCTGCATTTGTGATAAAGGAGGCAGCAGCTTCTACTAAAGTGACTTTCTCTATGTGTGTTGAGTCTGCCTGACTGATAACAGATCAGAAACAGCGAGTGGCCTTTGAAATTGAAGCGCTGACTGTAGTGGGGAAAATGAAAGGATTTTATGTTTTTGATCAAAGGATGATATCTTCCAGCTTGGAAAAGGGGGTTATTCTGCCTGCCAAGGCCTATGATACTCTGTTACTTACTTACCCTAGGGAAGAAGATTCAATTTCATAGCTATTATATTGCTACAAGTTTAAAAATATATTTGTAGCTATACATTTTTTTTTTCAGCTATTTTGCTTTCCCTTTCTAACTCCTGTCTTCCAGTCTGGCCCCCGGGTAAATTGCTCTGTGATTCTTAACCTAAATGGCAATTAAACAATCCTCTGGATCCTGGATCTTACTGAATATTCACTACTAAAGAGATGACAAAATTTCACTGAAGTGGGGAATTAAATGAAGACAAGGATGCCATGTTGAATGGTAGGTACTTAATGGGAACAATCTCTGGTGTCATTCTATGGGACATGGTATCATGTTAGTAATAAAACTGGCTGAGAGAAAGATGTGGGTGTGGAAAGGTCAAGGGCAGTGCCAAATCGAGTCTCTGATCACTGTGTTAACCAGTGGGTGTCTAAATTTGATGAGAGATTCAACAGAGTAAAGAGAAAGGGGAAAGTCTGAAAGGGGTCTGCAGTACTAGACTGGAAAGAAGACTGGATATGAGGAGACTACTTGACTGAAAATTAGACAAGGGATGGACAGATGGAAGATAACCAGGGGTTAATTCCCACACAAAGATCATATTCTATTCTGAGTAGCCTAAGTATTTTGTGGGGAAGCTGTTAAATCCTATTGATATCAAATTATGCCAGTTTCTGGCTTACCAATCATGAATGCTGTATCTGCATGCACCCAACATATTTGTGTGAGGGTATACATATGTTACATATATAAATAGACACATATACACTTGTATAGATTTATATTGTCTTATTTCAATATAGATCTGGCTTCTGCTTATCAGTCCTGTTATTGTTCCTTCCAACTACCTAAGATAAACCAAACAGGTAATTTATATTTCTCCCTAAATACTTAATCTCTGTCTATATTATCAATTCACTCTCACTCCTCCTACCAGTGGTTGCACTGTCCAATAGGGCAGACACTGGGCACTTGAAATGTGGCTAGTTTAAATGGAGATATATTATAAACTTAAAATATATGATGAATTTCTATAACATAAAAAGGGCACGTAAAAGATTGTAACAATTGATATGTGATATAATTATGAAATTATGTTTTTGACAGGATGGGCTTAATAATAATTTTATCTGTTTCATTTGGTGATTTTAATGTGGCTATTAGAGAATATAAAATTACATATATGCCTCACATTTGTGGCTCATGTTGTATTTCTATTGAATGGCAGTTTTGGAGACCTTCTCACTTCTTCCTTTAAGTAAGAAAGTAGGAATGACCCAGAGTGAGTTCCCTGATGGCTTAACCCAGTCTTCATATTGACATGCCATCTACCTACATCTGTCTACTCATAGACAGTATTATGAAGTGCTTACAAGCCCAATGCCAGAAGCAAATTGCCTGGTTTAAGCTCTAAATTCGTCACTTGCTACCTGTCTGAACTTGGGAAAGTTGCTTTATCTCTGAGAGATATATCATCCATAAAGTAAGATGTAATAATAGAATAATTACAGAATACTACTTAGTAGGATTAGTACGAGTATTAATTGAGTCAACATATGGAAAAATAATTATGTGTGGCTCAAAGAAAATACTCAAGGTTAGCTGCTTTATTGTTCCTTAAAATTCTCAATGGAAGACATACTTTGTCTCTTAGACAGGGTTAGATAGAAGTCTATGGGGATTGGCGTCCTTGGATGACTAAATAAAGGCATGAGAAAGGTGGTGTTGATGATAGTCACCATCAACATCATAGTTTGACACTGTGAATTTTTAGAAGGAGGTGGAATCAGACAGAAACACAGAGTTCAGGGTCTTCCATAGAACCCTGCTGATGTAGGGATGAGGCCAGTAGAGGAGAAAACACAGCCAGTGAGAATAAATCGAGTGAGCAGGAGCAAGTGAGCCAGCTTAGACACAGGAGCCATTACCTCAAGATGCTACTGAGAAAGGCCAGAGAGAGGAGGACCTGGCAGCAACTAGTATTTTTATTAGAATGGTGGTTTGCAAAATTTAGCACACATCAGAATCACCTGGAGGCTTTGTTAATACCCACATTGCAGGGACCTACCTGCAGAATTATTAATTCAGTAGGTCTGAGATGCGGCTGAAGAATTTGCATTTCTAACAAGTTCTCAGGTGATACTGATGCTACTGGATCCCAGGACAGCACTATGAGAAGCACTGTTCTACTCTAGGGATGTTCTTAAGGATGTGGCCCTATGATAGAGCAGCTGAAATCTCTGCAAGAGGAGGTTGATTGCCTCCTTCATTAAGTTCATTGGCCCTAGGGTGCAGAATACCTGAAAGCAATTGCCAATACTGATCTGATGGAGCTGTATTGGCAACTCTAGCCCCTTGTCTGGCCAGATCTATTGTTTCCTAGGAAAGGCAGACAAAATGTAAATGACTGCTTATTCATTTGCAGTATCTGAGATGAACACGAGATTGGCTAGTCAGTCTGATTAAGGGAAGGTGGTAGCTTTGTGGTCATTTGGATATCCAGTATTTACCCTGAGCACAATTCAGAACAGATCTGTGCCCTGGAAAATAGCTCCAGGCACCCTGATTGGAGGCTAAGGTTGTTAATACTTTTCTTCTCTTAGTTGGGATTGGTTCAGATGATGAGCGGAAAACAGAGTAGTGAGCAAAGGCTCCAATGTCAAGAAGAGCCAGGGGCAGCTTGACATCACTCATATGCCCACATTCCTCTCTCGCTCACTTCTTCCTTCCTTGGCTTGTAGTAGTAAGTCTGGTTACCTCCAGACTTTTGTCCTGTTTCCTCTGGTCTACTCCAAATTCCTTCCCTCATTTTTACAGCTGAAAAATTTTGCTCTCTCAACTTTTCTTTTTCTTTCTACCCATGCACATGTTAAATTCTCTCCATCCTAAATAATCAAATTCCATAAACCTCTCAAGCTATTGCTCTCATGGGCATCTTCATGTTTCCAGTCAGAATTCTGTCCATGGGCAAGGCTTATATTTTTCTTTTCTTTAATAAGGACAAAGATTCAGACTATTTTTGTCAAAATTTATTTCGAGAGAAAGGCTCAACTCCTGTAGCAGTGAGGGTGCCAAATGTTGGCTTGGGATGGCTTTAGTCTCTATAATTTCCATTGCCCTTCCAAAGCCAGCCGCTTAAACATGTGACCGAATACAAAGAGTGATTTTGCTATGCAAGAAACTTGCAAAACAAGTTCCTTTGCCCTTACTTATAAGCAGATTGCACCCCTAAGCACCTCTAGGGAGAAATTCAGGGGCTTCTACAAGTCTGTCTGTGGCTTAGGGATGTCCTCTCAGTCTCATTTGGAGGCTGAGAGTTTCAAGTCTGGATCTTGGAGGTCCAGTGCTTGTCCCAGGGACCAGTCCTCCTCAGTGCAACAATTGATGAGGCCACGAGATATCCCACTGATTCCTGAATCTCCTATAGCCGGCGTTTCCCAAACTTTCCTGATGGTAAGAATGATCTGGATGCTTATTAAAAACAAACAAGCTTGATACCACTCCTATAATTCAGATTCAGTAAATCTGGACCAGGTCTCAGAAATCTTGCTTTTAACAAGTATCCCAAGTGGGATTTTGGGAATATTTTACAGCATTTAAGATAATATCTGGTATGGTATACCAGGTATATACATATTTGGAAAAGCAACTGTACTCAATAAATAGTTGTTGAATTTAATTTAATTTGATTATTTATATTATACCACTTTGCTTCATAGTGACTTCCACTTGGATACTTTTAGTGAACCTTGTCTGTTTTAAAGGGTCTTACCACTTTAAAGCATACTATCCCTGCAAATTATATCAACTTGAGTATTGAGTATTAGAATTCAATACTCATTTTTAAATGGTAGAATCCACCTGTAAATCCCTGTGTTGGCTATACACAGTCTTTACCATCACCTGCATGACAATTTATTGCCTAACCTTGCTGGGGAAACTTTGTTTTATGGAATTTCACTTATGTAAATGAAATAGTTCATCATTTACTGATAATGAGCCATGTTTGCAATTACCCTGGAAGAATATGCTTTATTAAAATCATGATATTAGATTTAACTTCCTAAATCTTTTTATGAATCTAATGTAACATTAATACCAAAGCCTAACAAAGTATCAAAACTCTAATGCCATCAGCTAATTTCCCTGACAAACACAGATGCAGAATTCTTAAATAAAATACTAGCAAATCAAATCCAGCGTTACATTAAAAGAACAATATATGATTAACCAATGATTTCCAGAAATTCAGAGATGACTTGATATGAGAAAATATATCAATGTAATTAATCATATTAACAATTGAAAGGAGAAAAAGAGCCAGATGCTGAAAAGGAATATGATAAAAATCAACATCTATTTTAAAAAATTACCTTTACAAAACTTAGGGTAGAAAAGTAAGTCCTTATCAGTATGTTATGTAGTGTTTATTTTAAATGATTTATATGATACTTAATAGTTACCACTAGAATAATACTTGTCAAAATCAGGATCAGAAGAAGAATCCTCCTTAGCATCTGTACCATTTAACATTCTTCTGGAATGTTTAGCCTATGCAATCAGATTTGAAAAATAAATAAGAACTATAAGCCAGATTACCCTTTGATGATGATTTGATTACTGATCCTAAAGAATCAACAAAAACAATTTTAAAATCGTTAAGAGAATAACAGAAACAAAGTTTTCTTATAAATTGATAATAACCAGATATAAAATATAATTATTCTCATAACAATACAACACATACAAAATACCTAGTTAGAAACATCGTAAGAAATGGGTAAGATTCATGTAAATTTTGTTAAAGGAAAAGCTGAGTTGAAATATGGAAAAGTATGTTACAGTTATAGATCAAAAGACACAAATTTAAGATGTCTAAACCCCCACATTGTTGTATAAATTTGATGTAATCTTGAGATATAATTGGTAGCTTTGGGGATGAATAAGACTAAAAGATTCAAGATTCACTAAAAAGTTCATATGGACTGGCCAACATGGTGAAACCCTGTCTCCAAAAAAATATAAAAATTAGCCAGTTGTGGTGGTAGGAGCCTGTAATCCCAGCCACTTGGGAGGCTGAGGCCAAAGACTTGCTTGAACCCAGGAGGTGGAGGTTGCAGTGAGCAGAATTGTGCTATTGCACTCCAGCCTGGGTGACGAGTAAAACTCCATCTTAAAAAGAAAAAAGTTCATATTAAAAAGCAAATGGACACAACCAAGAAAGTTTTGAAAAAAATGTGGCGTGTGTAAGGAGTGTGTGTGTGTGTGTGTGTGTGTGT